AGCATCATCAGCATCATCATCATCAGCATCATCATCATGAGCATCATCCTCATCACCATCATAAACATCATCATCAGCATCATCAGCATCATCCTAATCATCATCGGCATCGTCATGATCATCCTTTTCATCATCATGATCATCATCATCATCAGCAGCAGCAGCAGCATCAGTATATCATCATCATCACCACCATCAGCATCAGCATAATCATCATCAGCATCATCATCATCATCATCAGCATCATGATAATGTTCATCGTCATCGCAAGCATCATCATTATCATCAGCAGTATCAGCATCATCAGCATGATCAGCATCATCATCAGCTTAATCATTATCATCATCAGCATGGTCATGATCATCATCATCAGCATCAGCATCATCAGCATTATCATCATCATCACCATCAACAGCAGCCTCATCATCACCATCGTCACAAGCATCATGATCATCAGTATCATCATTTTCATCACCGGCATCATCATCAGCATCAGCACCATCACCATCAGCATCAGCAACATGCGCATCGTCAACAACACCGTCATCATCGTCAACAGCACCGTCATCATCATCAACAACATCACCAGCATAATCATCAGCATCATCAGCATCACCATAATCCTCATCATCAGCACCATCATCATCAGCATCATCAGCAGTAGCATGATCAACATCATGATCATCATCATCATCAGCATCATGAACACCCGCATCCGCTTCCACAGCGTCATCATCATCAGCATCATCATCACAAGCAGCAGCAGCATCAGCCGCAACATCATCATAATCAGCATCAGCATCATCAGCACCAGCTTCAGCATCAACACCATCATCAGTACCTGCATCATCACCATCAGCATCAGCATCACCAGGTTCTACATCAGCATCATTAGCATCAGCAGCATTATCAGCATATCGGCAGTGTTATCAGCATCAGCATCAGCATCAACATCATCATCAACAGCATCAGCATCCGCATCATCATCAGCGTCATCATCAGTATCATCATCCTCAACAACACCAACATCATCACCATCAGCATCGCCATCGGCATCATCAGCAGCATAAGCATCAGCATCAGCAGCAGCATCAGCATCAACATCATCAGCAGCATCGTCGTCGTCAAAATCATCCGCGTCATTATCATCCGGATCAACATGTTCCCCCGTCCCAATCAACATCAGCATCACCATCAGCAGCAGCATAAACATCATCACCATACGCTTCGTTTCATCAACAACAACCATGGTCTCAACACCCGAGTTACCAGCATCAGCATCAACAACATCACCACCGACACCAGCACCATCACAAACATCAGCAGAAGCATCCGCACACTCGCCAAACATCATCACTATGACCATGATCATCATCAGCAGCAGCAGCATCCCCAGCACCGTTATCGTCATAAGCGCCACCATCATCATGATAATAATCATTGACAGCATCATCATCATACTAACAATCACGAAACAAAAGAAACAAGACGAACAATAAGATTAAAATCAGAATGCAAAAGCTGACAAACCTCTTCATCGTCATCTGCAGCAGCATCAGCATTATCACCGTCGGCATCAGCATCATCAGCATCAGCATCATCATCTTCATCATGAGCAGCAGCAGCAATATCACCACCAGCATCATCATCATCATCATCGGCCTCACCGCCATCGTCATCAGCCTCGCCACCATCATCATCAACACCACCACCAGCACCATCAGCACCATCAGCATCAGCATCATTAGCATCGTCAGCATCATCACCATCGCCACCACCATCACCATCATCATCAGACCCTTCAACTCATCCTGACTCCTCTTCATCATCCTCCTCATCCTCCTCATCCATGCCGTGCCTGCTCCCTTTTTTCCTCCTCCTCGCCCTCCTGTATATCCCTCCCCCTCCCCCCCCCCCGGCACCTACCCCCGGCGGGGCACGCAAGTCGATGTTCCTCGGTGCCGTCGCCGCCTCGGCCAAAATGCGCGCGCCCGCCGATGGCCAGATCGCGAAGCCGTTGGGACAGCCCCGCGGGCCAGGACGTCGGGACAACCCCGCGGGCCGCTGGGGGCGCGGGAGCAGGCCGTTGGGACAGCCCCGCGGGCCTCGAGATAAGCGCGGCCGCGCTCAGGGGGGCGGGGGGGGGGCAGCGTGAAGCCCAGCACTGCAGCGGGCTCCTCCGCCTCGGCCCTGAAGCTCTCCACCCTCCCGTGAAGTGGGGACCCCGTGGGGACGGGCCCCCGCCCCGCTCGAGACGTCCTCCAGACTCAGGCCAGGGGAGCCCAAGAGTGGCAACAACTAGCTCCGGATCCAGCCGGAGGGTGCAGATGCCAACGGCATGTGCTTCCAACGACTCAAGACGGGAGGAGCCCGGGGTCCAGGAGCCCAAAAGATTTGGCTGGCCCGCTTGGACTCGAACGTGGAGGCGGGGGCCCCACAGGGAGAGGGCTCCCGCTCAGAGACGTCCCCGCAGTTCGCTCCGAGGCCAGGCTCCCGCTCTAGGCGTCGTCCAGATGAAAAATCCTGATGAGCCCGCAAGCGACCGCGGCCAAGTCCCGCTCGGACTCGCACAAGGAGCGGGGACCCCATCGGAGGAGAGAGCTCCCGCTCGAGATGCTCCGCGACTCGCTCACTGACGATGCTGCTGCTCGAGACTTCCTCCAGACTCAGGCCCAAGGAGCCCAACAGTGACGACGGTCACAGGGTTTGGCTGACCCGGTCGGCTTCGAACACGGCCGTAGGGACCCCATATGGAGAGACTCCCGCTCGAGACTTCTCAGCGGCTCACTCACAGACGATGCTCCCACACGACGATGCTGACGGTCGTGTGAATGTGTGTGAGAGGGCGTGTGTGTGCATGTCTGAGGATTGAATTTGTAAGTGTGCGTGCGAATGTGTGATGTTCGATATCAATGGTGATGGTACTGGTGATGATGGTGATTATGATGTACTGGTGATGATGATGGTGATGATGATGTTCGTAAGGTGATGGCAAGGTGACGGAGAAGAATAAGAAGATGCTGATAATGATGACGATGATGATGATGATGATGACGATGACGACGACGATGATGATGGTGATGATAGTGATGATCTCGAGGATGCTGATGATGATGGTGGCGATGATTGTGATGGCGATGGTAGATGTCGCTGGTGATGATGATGCTGACTATAATAATGATGATGATGACGATGATGATGATGATGATGATGATGATGCCGATGATGGTGCTGATGATGGTGTTGGTGGTGGTCGTGCTGATGATGCGGGTGACGATGGCGATTGCGGTGCTAATGCTGACGATGTGACAATGATGATGCTAATGATGACGGTGATGATGACGATGATGATGATGCGGATGAGATTGATGATGATAATGATGATGCTAATGATGATGATGCTGATGACGATGGAAATGGTGGTGGTGATGATGATGTCGAGGATGATGATGACAATGATGATGATAATGATGATGCGGATGATATTGATGATGATGGTGACGATGATGACGTTGATGATGATGGTGATGATGCTGATGATAAGAGGGAGAATGCTGACAATGGTGATAATGCTAGTGATGGTGATGGTGATGGTGATGGATGTTGATATTGGTAACCTTTCTATGTGTGCCAATGATGATGGCGTTGATGATGATGATGATGATAGTGATAATCGTGGTGATGATGATAGTGAAGATGAGGACGATAACGATGATGAGGATGCGGATGCTATTGAGGATGAGGATGGGGAGGATGGGGATGAAGATGAAGATGGAGATGAAGATGATGCTAATGATGCTGATGACGATGCTAATGATGATGATGATGCTGATGATGATGGTGATGGGGATGCTGATGATGTTGATGATGATCATCATGATGGTGATGATGATGACGACGACGACGATGCCGGCGTCGACGACGACGAAGAAGATGAGAATGAGGATGAGGATGAGGATGAGGATGAGGATGAGGATGAGGATGAGGATGAGGATGAGGATGAGGATGAGAAGGAAGATGGGGATGATGAGGAGAAGGATGAGGATGAGGATTGCGGTGATGATGATGGTGATGATGAGAATGATGATGATGGTGATGGTAGTGGTGATGATGATAATGAGAATGATGATGCTGCTGATGGTGATGATAATGACAATGCTAATGATGATGATGCTGATGATGATGCTGATGGTGATGCTGATGGTGCTGATGTTGATGCTGATGGTGGTAATGGTGGTGATGATGATGGTGGTGGTGATGGTGATGGTGATAATGATGATGGTGGTGAGAATGATGATGATGATGATGGTGGTGATGATGATGAGGATAATGCTGATGATGAGTGATGATGACGATGATGATGATTCTGACGCTGATGCTGATGCTGATGCTGATGCTGAAGCTGATGCTGATGCTGATGTTGATGCTGATGCTGATGCTGATGCTGATGCTGATGCTGATGGTGATGATGATTCATGATGATGAGGTTTGTGCGCGTGGGCGGGTGTTCTCCTGAGCGGGGGTGAACCCCACTTAGGATGTGGGAGAAAAAAGGGCGCGAAACCAGGAAAGGGCTCTCCGTTCGAAGACACACAAGGTGAACTGGAGGGGGGGGATCAAAGACACTTTCATGTTCCTAGGGAACCAGAGCTCAACAGAAGCATGCAACATCAGCAACAACGACAACAACCACAACAACAACAGCAGCAACAACAACAGCAGGAGAAGCAACAACAACAATAACCACAACAACAACCGCAACAACAGCAGCAACAACAATCACAACAACAGCAGCAACAACGACCACAACAACAGCAGAAACAATAGCAGTAGCAGCAACAACGACCACAACAACAACCACAACAACAACCACAACAACAACAGCAACAACAACAACAACCACCACAACAACACCAGCATCAACAACCACAACGACAACAACCACAACAACAACCACAACAACAGCAGCAACAGATCGGAGGTTGGAGCCGGATCGCGGCCAGCTCGGAGCCGACGCACTGGTAGCACGAGAGCACGCCGGTGGGGTCGTACTTGCGCTTCGTGCGGTGCAGCTCCTGGCGCGGCCCAGGGAAGCGCACGGGCCAGGCGGCGGCGATCGGCGCAGGAAGGGGAGGAGGGGGAGGAGGAGGAGGAGCAGGAGGAGGAGGAGGAGGAGGAGGAGAAAGAAGGAGGAGGAGGAGGAGAAAGAGGAGGAGGAGGAGGAGAAGAAGGAGGAGGAGGAAGAGGAGGAGGAGAAGAAAAAAGGAGGAGAAAGGAGGAGGAGGAGGAAGAAGGAGGAGTAGGAGGGAGGAGGAGGAGGAGGAGGAGGAGGAGGAGGAGGAGGAGGAGGAGGGGGGAGGTAGGAGGAAGAGAAGGAGGAGGAATAACAGGACGAGGAAGAGGAAGAGGAGGAGGAGGAGGATGTAAAGCAGCAGCAGCAGCAAGAGGAGCAGGAGGAGGAGGGCGGGGGAGAGGAAGAGGAGGAGGAGGAGGAGGAGAAGGAGGAGGAGGAAGACGAGGACGAGAAAAAAGACGAGGACGAGGACGGACAAGGACGAGGACGAGGACGAGGATAAGAGGAAGAAGAGGAAGAATAGGAATAACAATACTAATAATAGTAAGTCGAAGAAGAAGAAGAAGAAAAAGAAGATCAAGGTTCGAGGTTTGGAGAAGGAAGGCGGGAGGAGGAGGAGGAGGAGGATCGAGGATCGAGGTTCGAGGTGTTTCAGCATGTTGCTGATTCCAAGACCTCCGACAACTCCATGGTTTGGAGACGCCAGTCCCCCGGACCTCACGACCCCTCCGAAAGTGCTCAGTGTCTTTGTTCATCCCTGGTTGTTTTCTGACGCTCCTGAGGCCTGGGAACGGCCCTGGGACGCCGAAAATGGTGAAAGATCTTCATCTGGATTTCTCCATCAACAATCTCTGGATGAATTATGACCTCTGGTCTGGGGACCTCCGAGAACCTCTGGAGACCTCCGAAGGAGAAGCCCCCGCGGGGAACACCTCCCAGGGGGCCTCCCCTGGAGCGGGGATGGCGCGGATCCCCTCGACTTAGGTTGGGCCTGTCCCCCTGCAGGGGGATTTCGGACGAAACATTAAAAATGCCCCCTAAATACTCAAAAAATGATCGAAACCATAATCCCCGAAAAAGTGGTCCCCAGACTACGTTTGGACTATGTCTGAGCATTCCCTCTGCAGAGGGACGGGCCCGACTCGACCCTCGAACCCGCCGACGCCCCCCCTAAGGCGTGCCGAGCGATCGGCGGCGGCCTCCAGGGGGGCCCCTTGAGCCGCCCTGGAGGCCCCGGAGGCTGGCCTTGGGTCGGGCATATCCCCCTACAAGAGGGGACTGTGGACGAAAAAAAAACAATGAATGCCCAAGCATGGCCAAAAAGTACTCCACAGATCGTCCCCAGACTATTCTTTTACTATCCTTGAAGAGTCCTCCTGTAGAGGGACACGCCCGACTTAAGGCTGGCACAAGAGGCCACGGTCGTCCAAAGCCCTCGTGCTGCTCTGCGATTTGAGCAGGATCGCCCTCTTCTCCAGAGCATCCCAGGCGGCACAAGAGGTTCCAAGGTCGCCCCAAGACAGCTGCCAGGCCGCCAAGGAGGGGCCAAGAGGCCGAACACGACGGCACCAAGAGGGGCAGCACGGCCGGCCATGTGGAGCCCTGAACCCCAAGACGGCCTCCAAGACCGCCGAGAGGCCGAAGAGGCCCAAGAGCCCCTCAAGAGGCCGCGAAAAAAGCCCCGAATGGGGCCCCTCGAGACCCCCAGGATACCTCCAAGATGTCCCAAAGAGGCCTCCAAGGAGCCCTCAGGAGACCCCCCGAATGACCTCAAGAAGCGTCTAAGAGGCCTCTGGTCCACAGCCCAAGCACGATGGCGGGTTGGCCCGAAGGCCACTACACTTAGGTCGGGCATGTCCTCCTACAGGCGGATTTTGGCCGAAAAATGCAACATATCCAAAAACATAACCAAAGAATGTCAAAAATAGATCGTCCACCGAGTACTTTGTTACTATCTTTGAATCTGCCTCCTGTAGGGGGACAGGCCCGACTTAACACTACACTGAAGTGGAGTGCAGAACTGTTGAGGCGGACTGATCCGAAATCGAGCTGGATTAGCCAAGATTCAAAAGGAGTGCGCCAGACTACACAGGACTAGACCAGACCAAGCCTGACCTGCACCGAGGCGACGCCAGCAGGTGCAACATAACCCATCCAAGACGGCAAGGAGGGTGACCCAGACCTCCGACCTTGATTTCTTCACGACGTGGTCCCTGGAGCTCCCGAACCGTCCCTGGGTCAGGCTCTCAGTCGCCGGCGGCTTCTTGGGCGTCCTGTCCTGAAGCCTGGGCAGGGCCCTCGAAGGCCCCAGAGAGGTAAACACTCGACAGTGGAATCGGACTGCGAAGCCTACGCGGAAAAACAAACGATCAAAACAAATAACAAAACCCGCGACGACTGGGAGTGAGAACGCCACTGGCAAAGAA